CCCTGAGACCTCAGAGTCCAGGCTCCCAGACTCCTCTTTCTGCAAACCCAGGAGGCTAGATCTCCAGCGCCTCCTCCCTGAGACCCAGAAGTCCAGGCCCCCAGCCCCCTCCTCCTCCCTCAGAACCAGGAGTCCAGGCCCCCAGCCCATCCTCCCTGAGACCAACCGTCCAGGCCCCCAGCCCCTCCTCCTTCAGACCCAGCCAGGGGTCTCACTCCCAGCCCCCGTTTCCCTGGGACATTGATCACTAGACCTCCAGGCCCCGGTGGCTGCCCACCGCAGCTCCCTGTCTAACGCCCTGCAGACCCTGGCCATCGAGGGCGGCGCTGAGGACCTGGGCCAGGAGGAGGTGGTCCAGCAGTGCATGAGGAACCAGCCGTGGCTGGAACAGCTCTTCGACTCCTTCAGCGACCTGCTGGCCCAAGCACAGGCCCACAGCCGCTGTGGGTGACCCCCGCCCAACCTGGGGGAGCCACCTCTTCCACGAACGGAGAATTGGGACAGAACTGTGTCCTCAGGAGCTAACCCCCTGGGCCCTGTTGCCAGGGAAGGGGGGGGGGGTCATCGGTCAGGGTGTGTCCATGCTGCCCCCACAGGGCAGGGTTCAAAGTTCGACTCCTCCCCTCTCCCACACCCCCTCCACTCCCCCCCAGCCCTCCCACTGTCCGGTGTACAGAGAAATTATTTATATATATGTATAAATGTCTATTTAGTAACGGTTTCCCTCCCCACCTTGCCCCAATCCTCTCTCCATGGCCACAGCCCCGCCCCCTCCACCTTGTACATAATGTATAGGAAAAGTCTATGTATGGTTGAGGGGGGCGGGGTGGCTTCAGAGAGCTGGGGGACCCCCCTCCCCCCCAATCCCCCCCTCATAGGCCAGGATCTTTGCTAAAGGCCATTCCCTCCCCAGGGCATTCGGCATTGGGTGGGAGGGGGGAAAACGCATCTTGTTAATTATTTTTAATCTTATTTATTGTACATACCTGGGGCGGGGGGCTGGGGAGGTGGAGGGGGGAGAAGGGTCCCCTCCCTTTGGCCCTCCTGCTCCTTTTCTACTGCGATTGTCTGTGTCTGCCCCTCCCCCACCGCCCCATCCCCTTGTTGTCTGGATGTGGTTCTATTTTTTATCCGTCTCCTCTCCCCTCCCCTCCCACCAACCCCTCTGCTCCTACCTCCCGACCACCCTTTGTCTCTTGCTCTTTCTTGGGCTTCTGTACAACTCAACTTGTATACACTGTGTACACACAACCAGCCAAACGAAAACCCAACAGCAAACACTTTATCAGCCGGCTGGAGTGCCTCTGTTCTGCGGCGTCTGGGCGGGCCCAGGGGTGGCGGAGGCAGAAAGGGCCTGGAGCTGCAACGTGGCATCTCTGGAAGCCCCCGGAAGTCGCCAGGCTGGGGTCATTGTATGCCTTACATCTCACTGTGTAAAATCAGCCACCACCACCCCACCCCAAAATTTAGTGACCTAAAACAAGAAATGTCTAGGTCCACTGGGTGGTCCCCTCCCAGGGTCTGCTGTGAGGGTCCAGTCAAGTCAGCCGGAACAGCGGCCCTCCGGGGAGTGATTGGGGTCATAGGATCCGCTTTCAAGGTGGCTCACTTTGAGTTTTTTAAATATTCGTTTGAGAGAGAGTGAGCACGAGAGGGGAGTCCTGGAGGCAGAGGGAGAAGCAGACTCCAGAGCAGGGAACCCGATGCGGGACTCGATTCCAGGGCTCCGGGATCGTGACCCTAGCTGAAGGCAGAGTCTCAACCGCTCAACTGACTGAGCCACCCAGGTGCCTCAAGGTGGCTCCCTTTTAAGGTGTGTGGATCGGCTGCGGGCTGGAGGCTCCATTTCTGTGCTGTGGGGGCCTCACCACGGGCACCTTGAGTGTCCCCACAACATGGCAGCTGGCTTCCCCCAGAGCAGGGGATCCCAGAGAGAGAGCAGGAAAGAAGCCAGCAGAGTTTTCTGTCCTAACACAGCATTGGCTCCTGCATATGGCTCATGGACAAGGGGTCCTTGAACCCAGTACCTACTTGAAGGGAGTTTCAGCTCTGCTTCGAGAAGGGAAAAGCGTAGGTACTTTTGGATGTGTTTTCAGACCGGTGTAGGCTGTGGCAGGTGTCAGGAGTTGGCCAGCTTTTTTCTCGGCTGCCTGGCAGTTGAGATGTGGATGGATTCCTGTTTTCTGGAGACCTGCTGCTTGAAGTGTGATTTGCTGCCCTTGGGAGTTCTGTCCATCCGTCCCCACCCCCAGTAGCCCCCCACCCCCCGCAAGAGCTTGTAGAAATGTAGACTCTGGGGCTGATTCTCAGATGGGCTGAGTCAGAACCCACTTTTCAGTAATATCCCGGGAGGATTCTAATACTCAAGTTTGAGGAGCAGCGTTCTAGAATAAGAGTTAACAATTTGGAAGTCAGCTGGAACCCAGCGTGGAACAGTGAATAAGCTGTTGGCATTTGAGAGCCGGGACCGTTGTCAAGAAGGGACTCTTGGTATTCTAGAACTCTGGCTTCAGCACCAATGATGGCTGGTCATCAACCTGGTGTAAGATTTAAGGGTAGACCATCTGCATTCTAGATAGATTCCCTTCTTGGTGAAATTGAGAAGGAGCCCCGAGTGTTCTATGACCTTGGATATTGTCTAGACTATCACCAAGGTGAATGACTCCAGAGCCCTGGTTTTACAGTAACACTGAAGGGTCTTAAAGGGAGAGTCAGTGATGGACCGTGGGCTTTTTAGAATTTATGGAGTTCGGAGAGGTGAGGATGGACCTTGGTGTCCTTGAACCATGGCCTGTAGCACAAGGCTCTGGGCTAGTACCTCTGATTGGAGCCAAAAATTTCCATGATCAGCGTCGCCTTGGATCAGAGCTCTCTATCAAAAGTTTGTGGGTTGTTCAGAAGGCAGACGGCAGGGCCCTATCATCCCATTGGTGGCGGGATAACCTTGTGGTTGGATTTTGGGATCCAGCTGCCCAGACTCGAATCGCAGCTCCAGCACTAACCAGGTGAGTTGGATACCAGCCTGTATCCCCAGCTTCGCCGGGTTTGTAAAATGGGCTTTTGTCAAGGTGAAGGAAACCCAAATGTTTGAAGCACTTGGTGCCCATTACACTGTAACAAGAGGCCCCAAGAGGTTTGTTGGAGATCCAAGAGATGGCAGAAGGAGGAGAGGGTGGCAAAGATGTTTAAAGAGAGACGTCAGAACCCTGAGAGGCTTTGAATCCTGGGCAGGGCCTGCCGGAGCATTGGAGAGGGCAGGAACGGGAGAGGCAGGCGCACACCTAGGGAGATGCCAACTAGGGCCACACCAGCCTCTTCACTGCTCCCTGAGGAGCTCAGGATAGCTGGTGCTCGCGAGCCATCCAGAAATGGCCTGCCAGTTGTCGTGTGGGTTTGTATGCGTGCCTTTTTCTGGGGGTGAGCAGTAGCTTCCGTCACCTCTGCAAAGCTCATTGTCGTCCTTAAAGAAGCAGGGTGTCCCAGGCAAGAACTTGGCACTGACGGACAGTGCAAAAAAAGACTAAGGCCCTCTGCCAAGGTGGCGGTGATTGGAGGGGGGGTAGCCAGAGAGGAAAACCTTGGCATAGGACTCCCCTGATTCCCCAGAGTGCCTCACCTCTCTGGCTGGGGTTAGGGGGAGAGGTCAGAGCTCATCTGGAAAGTGATAGAACCCGACCCTGGGGCTAGAGGGAGTGAATGTGCAACACAATACGTGGGAGCCACGCTTATTCCCAGGGCGGAAGGTTGAACACAGGCCAAGGATTCTGTGATAATGAAACCCGGAAGGGGATATTGAGCTAATCATTATTCTGATCTCGAGTACAGAGGGACATTCATGGTTCTGGGGCAGGAGGAGAACACTGGGGCCTCCGTCGCTGATACAGAGCACTTAGTATACTCCAAACGCTGTTCGTCTTCTGGGTCCAGATGGGTTCCTAAAGGCCTCCCAGAAGTAGTTCTGTGATCTCCCCCGTTCGACAGCTGAGAAGTCAGAGCGGCTGCTGGGGCCATCCTCTACCCTTGAACCAGGAAGTGGGTTCTGGGGTGGGTGTGAGGGTTGCTGTTTGGAACCAAGGGTCAAGGGATCGAGTCCAAGCATGGCAGACGTTGGGGTAGGAGGAGTAGATTGTGGATTGGTGACAGTTACAAGTGGCGATCAAAGTTCCAAGGCATGGGGACTGAGGGTGAGGTTTCTGGCCTGCATTGTTGCCTCAGTGTTGGAGTTTAGGGACACCTGTCAACGCTTAGGAGGTGGGCGAGGGGTGGTCTCCCTGTGGTACCAGCCTTCCAGGTTAGCAAATAGACTGAAGAATTAGGGGTCCTGGGTGGAATTTGGAGGAATCCAAGGGTTCCCAGACAAGCTGGTTAGCAACTTTGGGGGAGGCCTGAAGATGACCCACACTTCAGCCCTTTCCAGGAGAGAGGCTCAGATGGAAAGTGTGTCTACACCGGCCACAAGTTGGATTAAGGGTTTGGACTCAGATGTCAGCCCAACTGGGGACTTTCTGGAAATGAGTACTTGCCAGCCAGCTGCTTGGACACCACCTGTCCCTGCTCCCTCCTGTAGCCAAAAGGTCTTTCTCAATATATATTGGAGGTGGAACGGGACAGGCAGGGGTTGTAGCAGAGGCCAGTTTCCAAGATCCTGGAGCCTTCTGGAACACCACTACCCGGTAAATTTATATAGCCACATGTAGTTTCTGGCTAGCTTACTGAACAGTGTGGTTCTAGAACTTTTCAGGAAAGAAACAAAATTTTTTTGAGATGTTTATCCCCATCCCAGCAAAATGCCCACCCAAACACGAAAGGGCAAAATGGCCTTCATTGAAGGCGATGCAGAGGTCCAGCCACCTGGCTTGCCTTGGCTCGTTCTCTGCCCCCACCTCCCCAGCCAAGCAAAGGGTTCTAGAACTGATGGTGGTAGGTGGAGTGAGACTTTTACCTTTGTGCGCCATGAATTCACCCACCACCCCTTTTCCCTTCCCAAAATGCACTTTCTGACATTGGCAGTGAAGTTTATTTCCCTGGGGGTGGAGAGGGGAGTTATATACAGCAGTGACCCGGATGCCCGGGAGCCCCTCACCCCAACAAGGGGCTTGGGTGGGGAAGGGAGGCATTGGCAGAAGGCACACAGTGGCGATGTCCCGGAGGAGGCCAGGAATTCCGGGTGAGGGTGTAGTGTATCCTGGGAAACCCAGATGGGGAAACAGGCTCGGTGAAGGCAGCTGGTCCCGAGTGCTGGTCGCTCCTCTCACACCCCTGGGGCTACAGAAGGACGCAGGGACAGCCTCCATCTTTCTTCCTGGGGGCACTGGGTGGGCTGGGGGGGAGCTCTTGTTCCTGGTACTTCCTGTGGGAAGAAGCTGGTAAGTCCGGGTCGCCGGGACTGGGGACAGGTACAACAGGAAAGGCGCTCTGCTCACCGGACAGCCCGCACCAGCTGCTCGAAGGCTTCGTCCACATTGAGGCGCAGCTTGGCCGAGGCCTCGAAGTAGGCCACGTGGTGGGAGGCACCAAAGGCAGAGGCTTCAGATCGGGGGACCTGGGAGGGGGACAGCAGGAGGAGTCAGGTGTCTGCACTCAGGGTGGGGCCCAACTGTGGGAGGGAGGCAGAAATACACACTACACGCTCTAACGGGGGTGCCGTAGGTGTGGGGGTCAAGGGAAGAGGAAAAGTTTCAAGGAGATCATGGGGAACGTGCTGAGAGGGCTCGGCTCCATTAAGTAAGGAGTCCGGGAAGGCTCTGTAGACATTTGCCCTTCTGAACATCAGCTGAGAGTTCCTCCTGCGGAGAAGTCAGGGTGTCCCCTGCAGAGGCCAAGCAAAGCTCGGAAGCCTGGAAACCCCCAAAGGCTTAATCGGAAAGTTGAGTTCAGTGTGGAAATCACAGTCTCTGTGTGTAGGAAGTGGTGAGAGCAGAGAAAGGGACAAGATGTGGGAATCAAGTGCCAAGTCCAGGAGCTGGAGTTCTCTCTGGGGGAGGGGGGGGGGTGCCAGGGGAGGGCTATGAGCAGGGAAGGGGCAGGAGCAGTGGGGGGCCTGGAGGGAGGCTCACTGAGGTGGGGATGGAGCAGAGTTGGGGCAGGTCGACCTGGGGGTCGGTGCGGGTGCCCTTGGTCCCATCCAACAGTTTTCTGGGAAGTCACGTGCAACACTGGGAATGCAGAAGATCCGATTTGGGGGCAACCCATGTAGTGATGAGTGTGACAACAGAGGGAGCGGGACCAGGGGAGCCAGAGGAGGACGCTCAAAGGAGCCTCCCAGGTCGAGATGGGGGACAGGGGTTGGAGGCGGTGGGGAGTGTCCCAGACCTGGCGCTGTGTCTCCAGATCTGCCTTGTTCCCAACCAACACGATGGGGAAATCGTCTCGGTCCTTGACACGGAGGATCTGTGTGAAAAGCTTGCCCACCTCGTTGAAACTGCAGATGAAGCCAGAGGCGTGAGTTCTGGCCAGCTGCTGGGCCCCAGCCCGCCTTGCTCCGCACCCTCGACTCCCCTCACCTCTGCCGATCGTTAATGGCAAACACCAGCAGGAAGCCGTGTCCAGCGCGCATGTATTGCTCCCTCATGGCACCGAACTCCTCCTGGCCTGCTGTGTCCAGGACTGTGGACAGAGGGAGAGGGGCCACCGTGGGGATGAGGCTCCCAGGAGACCTCAGCCCCACCACCATTCCCCCACCCACTCCCAGCCGTCCTCACTGTCCAGCCGGGCTGGAACACCATCCACAGCGCAGATCTTCGTATAAGAGTCTTCGATGGTTGGGTCATAGTCAGACACAAAGTAGGACTGGGGGGACCGGGAGAAGACATCATTACTGTGGTTCCTGCAGTGCCCCAGGAGAGATGACTTAACCCTATCGCTGGGTTCTGCCTCCCCCGCCGCTTCTTGTTGGATCCCTGCTCCCCTCTCTGTGGGTCTCTGTTCCTTCCTCCCACCCTACCTAGTCTCCTTTTTCCGAGTCTCTCCCAGTCCTCTCTCTCTGGTATAAAGTACATCTCCCACATGGTGATTACGTCCTAGCTGTGCAGTATTGATCAAATCACTTCCCCTCTCTGAACCTTAATTTCATCATTTGGAAAATAAGGATAAAAATAAGACTACACTTAATCCAGCATTTGTGAGATTCGGGGGGAAATTCCTGCTAAGCATTTCACGTATGGCTTGGATCTAGTAGGTGCTCAGTTATTGGGAGATATTATTGCCCAGAATGTCTGCCTGTTTCTATCTCTCCCTCCTCCTCCTCCTCTTCCCTCTTTTTTTTCTCCTTCTTCCTCCTCCTCCCTCTCCCCCTCCTTCTCAGGCAGCTTCTCGTGTCTCCTCCCAGGGGAAGGTACAAGTTCCAATCCAGCTGCGGAGAAGCTGCCCAGCCCGGAGGCTGGGCCCCTCCCTTCCTGCCTGGGTCAGGCCAGCCTCCAGCCAGGCCTTTGGCCAGCTTTGGGTCCGCCCCTGGGTGCAAGGGGCTGGGGCCTTCTTCTATATAGGCAGGGGCTCCCATGCAGGGCCTGGCTGGGGTCTCTTGAGGAGCCTGAGGCCCAGGACCCTCTGTGGTAGCATCTCAGAAAGGAAACACCTTTCTAAGGTTTCTCTAAGGTGGGAGGGTTTCCCTTGGGAATGGGCTGGAAATTTCCCGGGCAGTGGTGGATTTTCAGGAGAGAAGGGGTGATCTGGTAGCTGGGGGTCTGAGAGCTGCCTCCTGTCTTTTAGGGGAGGGGTGCTTGGTGAGGGCTTGGCCTGCAGGGTGGGTGCAGGGACCACGCCATGGGGGGGGGATTACGAGTGTGTATTCAGAACACATCTGGAGAAGTCTGGGGTGAGAGCTGGGGAGAGTCCCAAGGTGCAAATACATTTGGGAGGTTTGTCACAGAATATAGGTACACGCCTAGAGAATCTGAGACAACCCAAAATGTGTTTACAGGGTCAGAGAAACTCCCAAGAAGTGGGTCTCTCTGGGGGTGTCAAAAATCTGGGGGTTTCTTCAAGGAGGTGATCTGGGGGCTAGCCAAGGTTTCTGAGAGATGCTCAAGGAGTTAGAGTGGAAGAAAACTTAACATGGAGGAGTGGGTGGTTTTCCCTGGGGGAGGGTGGAGGTCTGGGTCTGGTGGGGTGGGGGATCCCCAGAACAGGACGTGTAGTCATAAGAATTCTCTGGAATGGCCCAGGGGCAGGATCTTTCTGAAATCTCTTGGGTCTGAGGGTGCCTCTTCTCAGGACCAGATGGTACTGGATGGGCCCCAGGCAAAGTCTGGGCACAATTTCTAGATTCTGGGGGAGCTTAGTATCTAGAGGAGGGTAATCTCCCAATTAGGCTTTGGGTGGCTCAGACGGGAAGCTGGGACCTGGGATCTGGGGGAGATGGGGCTCAGGTTAGGGGGAAGTGACACCTAGGGGGTGGGGGCCTATAGGAGTGACTTTTTAGGGTCTATATGGGGTGACTTTTGGATTTAGGATGCTCCCAGGAGGTGCTCAAGGTCAAGTCCGCAGAGAAGCGGGGTCTTGGGTACTGGGAGGAGGGATGCGGGGGGGAGTCTCAGGATGCGAGTATAAGTCCCTTGTGTAGAGGGTGGAGGCCCTGGAGCTGGGGGGCTCAGGGTCACCATCTGAAGGGATTTTTTAAGATTAGAAGGTCTCATAGGAGGGTCTCAGTGATGGATCAAGGGGAAATCGGGGTCTCAGGGATCTCCCAAAGGGCTCAGTTCTAGGTCCCGGGGGCACCCCCCCGGGTGAGGGCCCACTACCTGGATGAACTGGATGGTCAGCGCGCTCTTGCCCACGCCGCCGCCGCCCACGACCACCAGCTTGTGTGTCTCGCTGGGTGGGGGGTCCCCGGGCCCCGGCCCCCCGCCCCGGGGCCGCCCCCGCCCTGTCCCGGACGCCGCCCCGCTGCTCATGTCGCCACCGCTGCTGCCGCCGCCGCTACCGCCTTGGGGGGAGCCGGGCGGGGCCTAGGGGCGGGCCCCGCTAATAAGACTACTGCATAATCATGAGCTCCGGAGAGAAGGACTGGAGTCTCGGGGCACTTAGGAGGTAAGGCCCGGGAAAAGGAGGAGCTATGCTAATAAGGGAGGGGGAAAGGCTTTCCTTGTGAAGGGGAATTCCGAATGGGGCGGGGATATGCTAACGTTAGGGCTAAACTCACACGGAGCAGCGCCACGCGCTCTCTGCAGGCGGGCCGTCTGTGGGCGGGGCTATGCTAATACGAGCCCTCACACTTTCGGCGGACGGGTCGGGAAAATCGTTCGGGGAGGTGCTATGCAAATGAGGATCCCGGAGGCCTGGCTTTTCAGGGCAACATCCCCTAGGCCTCGTTTTTAGTAGGCGGGGTTCGTCGACTCGCGCGCGGCCGTATATAGGCGCGCTCGAAGGAAGGAGCGGGTCTTGAAGGGAAGCTCCACCTCCGTTCTGGGATCCTAGCCAAACTTCCGACCCGGGCGTCTAGGCTGGACGCCGGAGTCTCCGCCCGCTAAGGGACCCAGGCTTCCGGTTCCCGGAGTCCCAGCCAAGCGGAAGACAGACTGGGAGGGCAGATGGGGCCCTGGAGGGGAACAGCGGGGTAACGGGACAGGGAGGGGCCGTGAGATCACTGCATTCCTAATCCCTGAGCCAGCTCGCCCAAACTGGGGTGGCTGGGTCATTGAAGGGCCTAGGGCCAGGCTTTCTGAGTCCTGAAGGAGGAAGATGAGGGTCCAGACTCCGGGGTCTCTCGGGGAGAATGAGACTGGAGTTCTGGACTCCTGGGTCCCGGGGAGTAGGGGATCAGGGAGTCTTTACTACTAGGTTCCGCAAAGGAGAGAGCTGGGGGCGTGGAGTCCAGGGGTTACGGGGGCCGGGTATTCAGATATCGATCTGAGGGAATCCGGATTGGGAACTCGAATACCTGTGTCTGTGTGAAGGACGAGTTTGAGACCAGGAATGGAAGGATGGAGGAAGGATGGGCATGAGGGCCCGACTTCTGGTTGTGAGGAAGGAGAGGTCGAACTCCCCAGTCCCAGGAAGGAGGAAAATGGGAGTCTGGACTCCTGCTGAGTGAGAGGAAATCGGAATTTGGACTTTTCCATCTTGAATGAGGAGGAGGTTGTAGGGTCGGGCTCCTCGGCTCTATATTTAGAGGGGACTTAGGAGACCGGGATATTCTGGGATCCCCAGAAGGTGGGCGGTGCAACTCCCAGCCAGCACCGCTTTTTTTCTACCGTCCACTTTTCGGAACTACAATTCCCTTGCAGCAACCCTGCTCAGGGCTCCACGTCACTTCCTGTTCCGCAGCTCTTTCCGCGCGCGCGCAGGGCACCGTGGGGCCTTGTCGCGGGCTACCGCAACCCCGCCCCCTTCACCTCTCACTTCCTTGCTGTCCCCGCGCGACGGAGGCGACGCGCGGACTACGCCTCCCGGCGTTCGTCGCGCGCCCCTGCCTGTGTGCCCCATTGACTTCTGGGAAACTGAGTCCGGAGTCTTCCCACCAGCCTTCACGGCACCGTGCTCGGTACTTGAAGTCCCGGCAAGCTCGGCGGCGTTTTAGCTCCGCCCCTCTCCTCCCTCTGCTCGCGAGCCCCCCCAGCCCGCCCCGCCCCGCGCCGGGGCCGGAGCCGCAGCCCGAGCGGCGGGGTAAGATGGCGGCGGCAGTCTGGGCCGCGGGGCTCGGGCCTATCGGGGTGGGCGGGGCGGAGTCGGGTCGCTAGTTGTCCTGGGGTCCTCCCCACACGCCGCGGGACCTGGAGGACTTAGCGGGGCGGCCTCGGGCCCGGCAGCGGCGGCGGAACCTGGTGCCGAGCGGGGGGCCTTCTCAAGGCCCCGGGACGCGTCTGTGGGTTCCGGGGGGCATCTACGGGGCGTCCCCGTGAGGACTGGGGACGTCCACCGGGCTGGACCGGGGCTGGAGCCTGCTCTCCATCACCTAGCTGGCGTGGGTCATTTCTGTAGGCACTGCTGATCGTCTTTATGGGCTGACTAGAGGTTAGGGTCTGTTTATAGGGTTCTGGGGCCATCTTGAGATCTTGAGATATGTCCCAGGGTGAAGGAGGTCTGCAAGAGCTGAGGAATATCTGCAGAGCTATCTATAGCGCCCGGGGTATGTCTGTTAGGGCTGGGAGTGTCTGCATGAGCTGACTTGAGGATGCGGCTCACCTACATGGGTCTGGGGCCGTTTACCGGGCCTGAGAGAACTGTTGGAGGGCCAGGAAGTCTTTTAGGGCCACCCAGACGGGTGGGGTATACCCACCAAGGGAGGGAGGCAAATACTGAGGTGTGCTGTGAGGCCTGGATGGGTCTCTAACCTCTGAAGAGTGTCTAATCTGGGTGACAGGAGGCTGGGGGCAGTTAGAAGGACCTGGAACCATCTAGTTGGCTTTCAGTGTGACTGCAAGAGTGCAGTCTTTATGCCTGGAGCAAATTCGAATGCCTTTTGAGGCTGTATAATCGCGTGGAGAACAAGACAAAGGAGAGTATTGGAAAATTTGCCCAGCTCAAATGTACTTGCACTTTATAATGTAATTCAAATGAAAAAGTGTTTTTAAATTCTGCATTGCCCTGGAGCTATAGAGATTAGAATTAGTCCACATTAGTGTGGGGAAGTCTGTAGGATCACCTAGATTCATTTAGTGCAATGCTTTTCAAACTCTTTTGACCTTGATCTACAGTAAGAAGTACATTTTTTGTTGAGACCCATTGCATATTCCCCTATGTGTTGAATACCAAAGTCCCATTAATTCATATTTCCACTTAACGCCCTGCGATGTACTGTGAAGATTTTTCTCCTGTGTTCAATTTATTTATTTTTTTATAACAATCTATTCGTGAACCACTATACTCCTATCATACTGTAGTTTGGGAAACACTGACCTAGAGGGACTTAGCAATGTCTGCAGAATGTGTTTTCATGTTGAAAAGCTCTAAGAGCCCTGGGTGTGTCTGCAAAGCCCAGGGCACGTCCACATGGGCAAGGGATCATCTTCATATGCCGCAGAGGGCTTGGAGATCTATGTGTCTGTACTCAGCAGGTCTCAATTAGGCTTCTGTTATGTGACAGTCACTGTTCGGCGTAGCAGGTGCTTCCCCCAGAGGTGCTGGAGAGCAGCTCCAGGGCTGGGAACTGTCCACAGGGGTTTATAGGCAGGACATGTTAGTGGGAGTTAGGGAAGGAGCTCCAGGCTCATTGCTGGGAGCTTTGGCTTAGCTTGGAAATCTGTGGTAGGAGAGAAACCTGGACCTGGGTGTTTGCTTTGCAGGTATGCGGCTGGGAGAGTGGCAGAGATAAACCTGGGCCCCTGGAGGCTAATAATGCTAATTATTGTTACTTTGTATTGAACGCTTGGGCTGTGCTGACTCTGTGGCAGAAGTCAGTCCACTTTGAATTCGCACAGCCCTTCTTGGACGTAGATACTCCTGTTGTGCCCATTTCCAGATAAGCACAAGGAGTCGGGGTGGGGGGCAGTTTACGGGTTTCAAAGCTTTCTGGGAACTCAGACTGGATATTTTCAAAGTAGCAGATTTGATGGTTACAGGGAAGCCAGCAGCTGAAATAGTCATGCTTTCTGAAGTCCTAATCCAGACACCCACCAGTGCGAGGGATCATCTCTCTGCTTTAGTATAATCTAAGAATTTCTGTGACGTCACGAAAGCTTGAGCCATGCTTTCAACCAGTGGGCACATAGGCCTTAGGTGGATGCCCTCTGTGGGGTCAGGTGGACAGCCTGCCTTTCTGAAAGCAGTGTTTTCAGTTCAGTACTGGTTTTGTACATTGCTCTATTGCAGTTCCATCTTTTGCATATAAATACAACTTTTTGGTTCTGTGCCATCGAGGAGAGTTGATGCTGTAGGAAGTGGTGTGGTATTTGAGGTACACCCAGCCCACTGGTGCAGGTCTCAGTTTGGGAAAGGAGGGTTTAGGAGACTATGGGACACGGTATTTGAAATCACAACTCAACCAAAAAAAAAATCTTGGCGTTGGGTTGGGTCTTAGGAGGGTGGGCAGTGAGGTCTTAAAGCTTGGCCGTGGGGGAAGCTGTGGGCACTTGGGAGAGCAGTGTTGAAATGGGAGGCTGGGAAGGCCTCCCTTCCACGAAGGGGGGCAGCTGGGATCCAGGCAAGGGAAGAGAGCCCACTCAGGTCCCTCTGATGTCTGCACTGGGCGTGGGGCTCACCCAAGGACTGGAGTGCAGAGGTAGAGGGGAGGGATGCCAGAGAGGTTGCTGAGCAAAGCAACGTTGGAGGCCCTTGAGGTCTTTGCATCCATTTCCTGCTCCTCCCGGAAGACCCCCCTGCGCCCTGGTCTGCATCCGAACTGTCACCCTCTCAACCACCAGGTGACCATGGAGGAAGAAGATGAGTCCCGAGGGAAGACAGAGGAGTCGGGCGAGGATCGGGGCGATGGTCCACCGGACAGAGACCCCACACTTTCTCCTTCTGCCTTTATCCTGGTAAGGCTGCTAGACACCCGGGGCCAAGGCAGGCAGGGATGGGCTGCAAGTTCCGATTTCGGGGCCCAACACCTGGGCCCTGGTGGGGAGGAGGGGCTGGGGGCCTGGACTCTTGGCTCCTCTGACGGGTTCGGATTTGGCTATAGGGGTGTCTGGAATGGCTGTCTCCCAGGAGCAGAGCTTGTGATCATTTGCACGAGTCCCCTGACTGCCCTTTCTTTCCATCCCCTTCACCCTCCACCTTTTCTCTAGCGGGCCATTCAGCAGGCTGTGGGAAGTTCCCTGCAGGGGGATCTGCCAAATGATAAAGGTATGATGGGCTCTGGTTCCTCTTAGCCTCCTGTCCCATCTCTGTGTTCTTTACCCTAATTTCATTCATAACCACTCTTCTGAGGCCTCCTGGGTACCACTCGCATGCTGGCACAGGGAACCGAAAGATGGGTCAGACTCCACGGCTGCCTCGGAGGGGCTGCCAGTCTGATGGAGGGGAGACACCATCACGGGGCGGAAGTAGT